TCAGACATTTGCCTCTGAGTAGTTAAGCAATATACTAGCTCTTAATGGTTCAGACCTCTTACTGGTTCAGCACTTAATGGTTCAGACCTCTTACTGGTTCAGCACTTACCCATTCAGAAGTTGCCAAACAGCCCCTAAGTAAGTGAGTGAGTCTCATTGCTGGTGCTTATTGACTTACGAAGTATTACTTGTAAGCAGTTTTAACTCATAAGCTTATAATAACATAAAAGTTCTTTCATGTAGATAAAATGACTTAAATAATATATAAGTCATTTAGGAATATTCATAATGGGTGAAGGAAAGTTTTATAAGTAATTTGGTTAAAACGGAGAAACGAAAAAACTGGTTTAAATATAAGTAAGACCTACTTATTTTATCTGACTTATAAAGCTTATAAGCATACAGAAACATGTCATCTGACTTATACATACTCACTTCATTTATTTAATTCTTTAGGTCACTTATATTCTTTCAGTGGCGTTCAAAAATAGGCAAATAGCAAATTTGTGATTTTGTGACTTTTTTTGTTTGTGACTCCAACGTTCCTACAATTCTCGACCTTTTCTTGATTGATAGAATTTAAGATGGGATACGGGTTATTGTTTTGGGTCATAGGACACTTGGATTGAATCACATTAAAAGACTAAATATAATTTATTACTTGATTCAACTCAAGAGCTTATATATCCATTAGTTTCTTATCACTTTTTCGATGTGGGAACTCTCTAACATTCATTATTGCAAATGTTTTTTTAGATCTTGGGAAGGTTCTTCTCCTACCTAGCTTTGGAGGGCTACCCCAATGGGCAGTTGTAGGTGACACATTTCCAGTTGGGTGTGCTTTTGATGAATCCATTGTCCATCATAAGGTCCCATTCACATACCAATACATTGAAGCATTTATAGCATAACACTTGATCAATTGTAAATTCTTTAGTTTATTTATTATATTTTTGTTTTGTTTCTTTTTGTAGTACTTTAAGGAAAACCCGGATTATCTCAACTCTGTTTACAATACAAAGTATGGGGCTTATTCAGAGGGCTGTGGCCTCAACAATGTCATGATGTCTTGGGGCCATGATGACTACATGTATTTGGTACAAAATATATCTTGTTTTAAACCCTCCTTTAAGATTGTCAATTATTTCTCAACCAACATTTTTAAGGTTTATTTATTAGCTTTTAAAAAATTATAAAAAAAATTAATCTCTGATTTTGTTGAGCAGGTTGCACAAGAGAACGGAACGACTCTACCATCACCCGCCCTCTTCATTATCCGATACCACTCTTTCTATGGTAAGCTCTTGATGATAATTTGTTGTGTTTACTCCCAAGGCCAATCTTTTTTAAGTAAATTAAGGGTATAATTTTGGCTTGGAATTGCTTATGAAACCAAAAGAATCTAAGTGTCTTTTTTATTGATGGTCATTTATGAACGCGGAGGGTTTGTAACTAAAGTCTACATGCACCTAAAGTCTACATGCACCCATCTTCCCCCCTTCTGTCTTGCGGGATTCTATTGGATCTAATGATCTATTGTTGTTGGTCATATTTGAGTGCATTGTTGAATATAACCAATAAAAAAATCTCTTTCTTGGATTTTTAACCATGCCCGGCCAATAGCAAAAGTAATCGTTACTATGTACTATTACTACTATAAGTGTAATTTATCTTTAATAATAGTGAATATAATTTGTATGATATGTTGGCAGCACTACACAAGGCAGGAGCTTACAAACACCTAATGAATGAGGAAGATAAAGAGAATCTAAAGTGGCTTCTAATCTTCAAGTAATTGACCTAAACAAAAATGATTATCCCTTCTTCATTAACTTCTTGATGAGAATATATTAATGGCTTATCATACGTAATAACGTTTTTGTAGCAAGTACGATCTTTACAGTAAGAGCAAGGAAACAGTTGATGTCCAAAACGTTAAGCCCTATTATCTCTCTTTAATCGACAAGGTGAACCGTGTTTTTACTTATAATCTTTCTCTAATAACATAGGATTGTACCATAATTAATTAATTTTGGTGTACTTATTATGTATGTACAAATATTTATTAAATTGCAGTATTTCCCTGCAAAGTTGAGGTGGTGAAAGCCAAGTGTGGGTTAAGGGCTATGATGTGTGTTGAAGAGATTGAGATAATGTATGATGTGATGATCTCACATGGAATAAGCAGTGCACATCTTCAATGTCATATGGGCAGAGTACTTTAGTTGGTTCTTTCATTGTGTCACAATATATCTACTATAGTAGTATGCCAGCATAATGTAGTTGTTATATGTTTCACTTTCATATCAAATAAAAAGTTTTATTGCTTTGTCAATTTAGTGTTTGGCAAAAAAAAATCCCTTTGGATCATTGCCAAGTTATATCCATGTTTTTTTCTGCTTTAGAAAAAATGACTCAAAATCAATGGGCACAACTCTAAGAATACGGCTGGGTTCAGTGGGTACTGACTTCATTGGCCACGGAAGTAATTGTCCTCCCCTATGATGCTTTGTTCGTAAAATTGATGATTCTTATGCTTTCTAACCCCATGGTAAATCCCCTGCCCAGTCTCGATCCCAACTCATCCGCACCTACATCAATTACATCTCGCAAGTATACTTGACTTTAAAGTCTAAAGTTTTGACCTCAAAGTCAACAAAAATTGAGGGATGCAATTGACGTAGGTGAGAGATGAGTTGGGGCCGGGACTGGACAATAGGGTTTACTGTGGCCACGAAACCGGACCCGATAAAAATATTTAGCGTTTTTGATGATATATTGATGGTGCAGATAAATTTTGATATGGAATGCCCGTCTAGGCGTCTAATATTCCCAAACCAGTATACCCATCCTCCTCAACTAGAATGGCATGTCTATTTTGTCCAATACTTTTATCAGGTTGAAATTCGACCCATTTTCTAAGCAACATAAGAGCATGAACAATGGCAAGTAGAGAAATGAAATGACACATGCTGACGTGGCGTATTTCAACCAATAAGAAACAGTCTAGTCATTGAGTGGCATGTGTGTGGAGTAGCAACCCCTACAATGGCAAGTCATTCTTTTTATCTTTTTTCAAAAAAAAAATGATATATTGTGATTAATAAAAACTACTCCGTATTTTGTCATATATTTTATCATTAAAGAATAGTACTACTTCATTCGTAAAAAGCTTGTTTAATTTCTTTCTTTTGAGGATATGAAATTTTAAATCAAGTTGATTTTAGATTTTTGAAAAAAATAGAACTCAATTCGTCAATAAAAAAGTATACTTTATTCTCCAAAAATTGGCTTTACAAAATTGTAGCAACCCAGTTTATAACTAGTTTTGTTTTGAGTTGCCAATTTATATACTAGAGTACAAATCTTCACAAAGAGAGAGAAAGAGCAGAAAAAAGAAAGAAAAGAGTAAATTGGAGAAAACAGTTGAAACAAAAAAAAAGGGGTATAGTCCTTGCCTCGGTGATGCCTCACAAAGAGGGGTGACACGGCTTGGCTTGCCTGACTAATGCCTTAAAAAGTCTGATGTGGCATGGAGTGGCAAGGCTTTGCCTTGCCGCTGCCAATGCTCTAATATTTTTTCCGTTCTACAAAACATTTCCTTATTTTTTCTCTTTCATCAAACACTTCCACTTTCTATTAAAAAAACACTTTTACTTTTTCTTACTCTATCTATCACATCATATTATTTTCTCTAATAAATTATCCACCACATCTTACTTTTATCCATCACATCAAAGGCAAAATTGAAAGTCAATTATAATTTAATACTTTTTTATTTTAACATTTGATCAAAATTAGAATTATTTTCAAGAAGTGAGGGAGTAAACCTTTGTTAAAATTTAAAAAATCCACGACCCTCTGCCCCCTCCCCCTATTAAAATTTAAAAAATTCACAATGGTTCATGCCTTTTAACATGGACCTTCGGGCGATAAATTATTAAAGGGGTACACCAAAGGTACACCACCCTCTTCTCCACCACCCATTTTTATTTTATTTTTGTTTATTCATTTTTTTGAATTTCTTGCCTCTTTTTGTAGACAAGGAGGGGGTGGGAGACAAATAGGGTACACATTTGGTGTACCCCTAGCATTTTTTAAAAAATATCCTAACAGTTTTAATAAAATTATAACCCCCCCTCCCCAAATGATGTTGTCACACATTGTGTGTATTATTTCTAATTCAACGGCACATTTTTTATTTTATGGACACTTATTTTGAATTTCATAATGTCAATATAAAAATTAGTTTAAGAAGAAGAGAGTAACACATTTTTTGAACAAAAGCAAGAGCAATGCTAGAGTCACAAACACTTTGATCACAAAACACACAAACTTACCAATTGTTTATTTAAATGTTTACTTTTAATTACAGTATTTAGCATCATTTTAATCACTTGGTGAGGTACACAAATAGTAGGATTGTGTATTTTGTGATCGAAGTGTGTGTGACTCTAGCATTTATCCAAAAACAAACCAAGTTCAAAAAAAAGAAAGAAAAGAGTTTTTGTGCTTATATACAACGACTGCACATTCATTAAAAGAGAACAAGGACCAAATAGAACACGTAAAACTTAAAATAGTTGCCAACAACAAAGTACCACCAATATATACTACAGCCCGTTATATGGTCACTGTTTTTCAGTGGCCTTGGCTCAGATACGGTTCTTCATTTGTACAATTGATGATTTTTATTCTTCGATAAACCCATAGGAGAAAAACTAAAATAGTGCTCTTAATTCCGATCTTTGTTTTTTAATTAAACAACAAATATTCATTTACACTGCAAAAAATATAATTATGTTGAGCAGTGTGGTTGTTCACTTGTAACTGTGTAGTGGACAAGTGTGGTTTTTTATACGGAGTATATGAGTATATAATGTGACAGTGTATAATGGATATATGTTGTTATATCTTACGAAAGTGTGAAAGTTTATTATTTTGTTCCTAAGTTTCATGTTGGAGTGGAATGTCCATTGATTTATGTGTCATTATTTTCATGTATAAATTCTACACTTTCAAAAAGTGTATAACTGTTTTAATGTATGAATTCAACACCGTCTAAAAATGTATAGCTCTTTTTATATATGAATTTCACACTGTTTTCATGTATGAATTCCACACTGTCAAAAATGTGTATGACTGTTTTCATGTATGAATTTTACATTTCCCAAAAGTAAATGACTGATTTCATGAATAATCAATTAAACCAAAACAGTTAAACTTGGGCATTAAATATGAAACTTAATTTAATACCTATGAACTTGTTTAGACATGCATATACATTGGTAAACTGCATAAGAGGAGGATCTCGCATAGCTATGATAAACGGCGTAGGATGATGTCTTCGTACGTATGATACACACGAATGAGAAAGAGCCACACGTATGAGGAGGAGTGGCTATGTGATAGCCTAAGTTTAACCAAATAATTAAAAGTAATTAAAAAAAATAGTATAATATAATAAAAGGTAGAGAGTATGCTTGGAAGATATTGACATTATAAATAGCTAAATTCGTATAAACGATTAATGAGTGGTATATGCGTAATATTGAGTAACTTAGAGTGCTACGTAGGGTGATTTCTTTAAACTCATCACCCAGTCTTGACTCCAACCCATCCTCCCACCCATATCAATTGAACCCCGCAAGTTTAATTGACTTTAAAGTAAAATATTTTGACTAAATCAACTAAACTTGCGGGGTGCAATACACATGAGTGGAAGAATGAGTTTGGAACTGGGTGGGGGTTACTGGTGGGATTATGAATCATTAATTTTACGAATGGGGCATCGATGAGTGGCAGTGGCTTCCGTGGCTACCCAAAATGAACCTAGCCGTATATACTAAGCGAATTTATAAATTATAAGAAAAGTATATTTAATTATAATGTATATTTAATATAAGAACTTTTTTATGCCATTAGCCTCGAACTCTTCAAAAAATTGCACGGATTCCTCATGAACTTCAAAATGTACACTAATAGTCTGTGAATTTTTAAAAACGAGAAAAGTGCATTGTTTATCCCCATAAATGTTAGAAATTTCATTATTTACCTCTGAACATTAAAAAGTACATCTTTACCCTCGAACTCTTCAAAAATTGCACGATTTACTCCTTAACACTAAAAAAAACATACCAAATACCCTGAACTATTTAAAATGTTGTACCCTTAGTCTTAAAATGCTAGACAGGGAGTGTGTTGCTCTCACGCACGGGAATTTCGAGTATGATTCATCTGACCCTTGTGAATTCTCAAAAATACCCTTCCCCAATATTATCGTCTTTATTTAAATGTTCAGGGATAAGTCGTGAATTTCTGAAGAATTCAAGGGTCTTAAGTGCGCTTTTTAATGTTTAGAGGTAAACCGTGCAATATCTGAAGAACTCAGGGATATCTCGTGCACTTTTTAATGCTTAGGAGTATACCGTGCAATTTTTGAACAATTTAGACGTAAACGGTGCACTTTTCTCTTTTAGGAAGCTGTAAATCTCTCCTCATTCCGGTGCCTTGGCAACAACTTGTTGCATAAATGGCGCCCAAGCCAGCTTAGAAGAAGAAAACTCACAGCTCGACATTAATGGCATCTCCATGCCAGCTTATCAATATTAGTATTATATGATCATATGAAGTTGACAAAAGGGAAAGAAAGAAAGAAAATTTGTGCATTGTAGACATGGAACTTCAGAAACGCACTGCGATCAACCATTATAATTAATGAGGGCCTAACTACTTCTTCATTGGCAATTAATGGCTTCTCTCAACTTTCACCCTCCTTCTTCAATGCCTCCTTTTTGGTTGCCCAATATATACTCCCATCCCCACTACTAATAACAATATCACCCTCTGACCACTCATCCCTGCAACTTCTTCACTCATTCTTGAAAGGAAAGAAAGAAAGAAAAGAATGGGTTGTGGGCGGAGCTGGGTGGTCTTGGCCCTGATTTGTGTGGCGGCGGTTGCCGTGGGTGGCGGTGCTCAGCCCCTCGTCCCGGCCATCATCAGCTTCGGAGACTCGTCTATTGACGTGGGGAACAATGACTACATAAACACCTTCTTCAAGGCCAACTATCCCCCCTATGGTAGGGATTTCACCAACCATGAGCCCACTGGCAGGTTCTGCAATGGAAAACTTGCCACTGATATTACAGGTTCATTCTTGCTTTTACATTTAGTCAAAGCTATCCATTCAAGACATTCAATGAAACAACCAACCCAAGACTTCAGAAAGATCAAAGATTGATTTTTTTTTCTAATTTCATTAAAATATTTGCAGCTGACACTCTGGGGTTCACTCAATATCCGGCGGCATATCTTAGCCCAAAGGCAACAGGGAAGAACCTTCTAATCGGCGCTAACTTCGCCTCTGCTGGATCTGGCTATGATGATAAAACTGCACTGCTTAGTGTAAGAGAGAAAAAAACAAACTCATTCTTTATTACTATGATTATGGAATATTATTATTATTAATTTTTGAATGTTGGGTTATCCTCAAAACAAATGCTGATGAAAGAAAAAATGATTATTCTCCATTACAACCAATGGCAGCATGCAATTCCACTGTCACAGCAGCTGCAGTATTTCAAGGAGTACCAAAGCAAGCTAGCAAGTGTGGCTGGCAGTGCCAAAGCTTCATCCATCATTAAGGATGCTCTGTATGTGGTGGGAGCTGGAAACAGTGACTTCTTGCAGAATTACTATATCAACCCTTACATCAACAAAATCTACTCTCCCGACCAATACGGGTCTTACCTTGTCGGCATTTTCACCAACTTTGTCAAGGTATATCACCACTAAGTCAGACTAAAAAAGATTATATCCAATCGATTAGAAAATTATTGTTTTTAAGTCATATATGTTTCTCTTTAGCAAGTGATTTTAAGATGTGGGTTTTTCAAAAAAAACGAAACAGGATCTTTATGGATTGGGAGCCAGGAAAATCGGTGTGACTTCTCTACCCCCATTGGGATGTCTTCCGGCAGCAAAAACCTTGTTTGGTTTTCATCAGAGTGGGTGCGTCGATTATATCAACACCAATGCCCAAAAGTTCAACGGTAAAGTCAACGCAGCAGCAGCACAGCTTAAGAAGAGCCTCCCTGGCCTCAGGCTCGTTATCTTTGACATCTACAAGCCCCTTAACGATCTAATCAAATCCCCTTCAAACTCCGGTACGCACAAGTTTTTTTTGTTTCTTTTATCAATATGTTCAAGATGCATAGGGCTCGTTTAGTGAGGTCTAAGATTGCTTAATATGGTGTGAAGTTGAGACTGAATTTGCTCAATTATCTCAAATAAAGAATGATTACTTTAGTACATTAAAGGAGATAATATCTACCTTACTTCTTTCCAAGACTTACAAGTGTTTCTTAAAAAAGTAAGTTTCTAACAAACGAGAACTTGGAATAAACAAATTCTTGTTCCCAAACAGGATTTGCAGAAGCTGGGAGAGGGTGCTGTGGGACTGGAACGGTAGAGACCTCGGTGTTGTTGTGCAACTCTAAGTCGCTGGGAACTTGCAGCAATGCAACTCAATATGTGTTTTGGGACAGTGTCCATCCATCTGAGGCTGCTAATCAAGTCTTAGCAGACACATTGATCACCCAAGGGATTGAACTCATTGGATGAAGCTTATATTCCCCCATCTACAGTTTGCATCGACTTAAAGTTACCACTGTACTCTCCTCTATCTTCTAGTGCCTTGTTTAAAAGTTTATGTTGGTTTGTTATTCATTTAAAAGATTACAAGTTCGTCTCGCTATATAGACACATGGAGTACTATTTCGTCGTGATATGTATCACTTTGTCCACTTTGAACTTCTTTTGATAGTAAACTTATGTTACAAAGCTCATACTACCCTTACCTTGCATTTACTAAAATTAGAATGAAATTGAAGCAGCAGATTCTAAAAAAATGAAAGTCAATATCTTGTATTGACAGGTCCCAAGAAAATGTAAAATACAAAAACAACAATTATGAACAAGAAAGTGTAGTGAAATATTGATTAAAAGTGGAGACAGTGGTAGAATGTACTTGGCTAGTTAATCTTTCCCAATTGGTGATACCAATTAGTCAGAGTGGTTTGCTTCCCAAATCCAACACCCATCCATATTTTCCATGATCCGTTCCGTCTGGGTCCCAGCTTCGACCATATTCTTGTTTTTGGGTTTCCAGAAGGTTTTGGTTTGCTTCTGAATCCCCAGTTTCTGGGCAGGCAGTGTATCCCCAGGAGTAGACTTCTCATACAACTCCCCTGAGTGTTTCTTTGAATCCTGCAGTTCAATTTCCACCATTAACAATAAGGGTCTGTTTGGAACCGGGGCATGCTGCGAAAAGAAAATTGAGGAGAAATTTGGAAGGAAATATAACAGGGAAATTATGAAAAATGTGTTCAAACTCAAAAGGTCAATTTTAGATGTATGTTCGAACTCAATTTATTCATATATTTGTATTGCAACATATTAGGAATAAGAATTATAACTCGTAATTTTTAAATACTACCAGAGTACTATTTTTTTATTATCAAATCTGATTTCCTTTGTAACATCCAATGCTAAAACCAAACACAGCATTTTCCCTTCCCCTCTTGTTTTCACATTCCAAACATAGTCTAAATAACTGTAAACAGGAATCTAAATGATACGACTGACTTACATATGTGAGTTGTCTGCCAGTCTTTTGGTACTCGAAAGACTGATAATGATTGAAGTGCTGGATTGGCATTGGCTTGTTTGGCTCCCTGGAAAGTGCCAAGGTTACATGCATAGGCTTTCCATAACAAGTAGTTCCATTGAGTGAATCCATAGAAGATTTTGCGTCTCCTGCTCTGGAAAAGCATACAAAGCCACACCCTTTGCTGATCCCATCACGGCGAATGATCTTCACTGAAGTCACTTCTCCATAAACGGCAAATATTTCTTCTAATTTTCTTTCATTGACAGATACACTTAGGTTCCTCACATGCAGTTCTAAATCATTAAGTTTACCGGTAAGAGCCTCAACAGCATTCTTAGCATCTTTGTGTGAGTTTTGTCTGATAAAGCCAGAGTCTCTTGAATTCCCTTCTTCGTCCCTCGCGATCGCAGCATTAGGGACCTGCTCATATTTAGAGAACCTTTCTCTTGATGGGTCCCCAGTCAGATTGCAGTCAATGTTTTGCAAATTCGCGTATGTGAATCTATTATCTTCATGGGTAGCCATCCTCTCTTCTTTCTTCATAAATGAGGAAACATATCTGAAAATTCCAAAAAAGAATAAACCACTATTTTGAAACAATAGGAAATACGGATCTCTCCATCTTCTAAATTTCCAAAGTTAGGGTATGTTTGGATCCAGGAAAATGCTAGGGAAAGGGGAAAATATGTCAAGCCAAGTTATTTTCTCGCATTTGGGATACCTCGGAAAATGAAATACAATTCTGCAAAAAGTAGGGTCTGGGGTAGCAGTAGCCCTACTCGGAAGTAGAGAAAATGAAATACATTTTTTCTTATCCCTTATATAGCATGAATGAATAAACAAAATAGGATTCAAAAACTCTGTCAAGAATGAATTCATTGATTGTGCGCCAATGCTTTATTTCCACACATTTTCTTTCCTTCAAAAAATTCACATATACTTTCGTCTCTATAGCCTTTCAGTAGGATTTGTTATGTTGTGGAGCCTAATTAATACTTGATATACAGTCGCAATTTAGATCTGATTATTCTAAAACATCAAGATAATGAAAAGAGTAAGAAAGAATATCATGAAATGGGTGGGGAGGAAAAGGAAACGTACAGCGTCTTCCCCTGAAAGACAACTCCATGGAGACAAGTGATAGCAGAAGTGGCACAAGGCTGTGAATCAAACTGAACAAATCCAAAACATTTGCTCTTCCCATTTTCGTCTTGTGCGACTTTACAAGAGAGTATTGTTCCGTATCCACTAAACAATCTCTCCAATTGAGCGCTGGTTACCGAAGAAGAAAGGTTCTTGACGAAAACGTTCCCAATTCCAGATTTTATTATTAATGGATCCCTTTGCCACCACATAATCCTCATCGGCTTTCCCCTCAGGTTCGTATGGTTCATGCCCAGAGCCTTGCAAGCTGATGGTCAGTTTATGGAAAACAGAGTGTCAATTGCACCAAGAAATATAAATTAAACTGTAATCCAAACAACCGTAAATCCAAATGACAATAAAATCTACTCCAATGTAGTAAGAATATATAGTTTAGAAAGCAGAAACAGATGGTCATTTGCAGCAGGAAATAAAAACTAAGCAGAAAACCGAAAAAGAAAATTTGATTGAATTGTACAAGAAAATAATTTGGGGATCTAAAACCTACCAAGAAAATATAAAAAACACAGTGTGAATTAGTGTCGGAAATATGAATTAAATTGCAAGCAGATGAACCCTAAATCCAATATATAATAGAATCAGTTCCAATCAGACGAATTGGGGGACTACAATCAACCAAGAAAACCCCCGGAAACGCATCGGAAATTGAGGCGTTACTTACCGTGACGGAGACAGAAGAAGCTGACAAAAGCGAAGCAGCGGGATTTGCGAGAGGCGGGGTTTCTAAAAAGGCGGACGGAATCCAATGGGCCAACCTGAGAAAATGCATTCTCCAGGTCCCGCTCGGTGGCGTCCGGGTGAAGGTCGCCGACGTAGAGGCACGGCGTTCTCAAATGCAGCGCCGTCGCCATGGAAGATTTGGTCCTTGGAGGGTTTAGAGCGGATGAGAGAGTGTTTAAGCAGAGAGCGTTGGATTCTTGAAGCTATGGGAAAATTGAGCCGGGAGAGATGAGGCAGTTCGTTATAAGCTTATAACTGTCATAACTGGTAAGATATGCTGTGGAAGCCATGGTTGAACAAATTCCTTCTTGCCAATTTGAAATTTGATATGTGTACTCTTTCCATTTTAAAAATGATTTAAAGCATACTTTACACCATTACCATCTTTTAACATTTTTCTTTAATCTAACTACCGCAAGGGCAAAATGAAAAAGTGAATTACTTTTAAATTTTACGTTAAACATCGTGCTAAATTAGTAATGAAAGAAAGATACGACAAATATTTCCTCTATCCTTTTAAGAATTTTTAATCTTTAGTGCAAATTATACTACATGTGGAATTGTGAAATTAGAGTAGGGCGACTGCCGACTGATCGTATCTAGTCGCATTTTATAATTAAAAAAACAATTTTTCAATTTTTATCCATCTTAAAATAATTTTATATTATTTGTGGTTTAAAATAGTTTTCTCACTTCTAAATATATTCCAACAATTTATTTTTTATTTTTGACAATTTTTTTTGCATTTTTTAAACTTTCTTTGATGTAAAAACGAGACAATGAATTTAGGAGTAAAGAAAATACATGATGGGAGAAAATCGTATGCCAGTAAAAGTTTTCAGCACATAACCCACTTTTCAAAAACAAAGTAAATTTTTGTCACAATGTGTTTGGACTTTCATTTTTAAAATAGAAAAAAATAGTAATTCATATGTTGAATATTGATTTGCCATTACAATATCGTCTTGGATACTTATAAAATAGTACTCTATATTTTAAAAAATAATGAGTAATATTTCAAAGACCTTTGGAAATATTTTTAATGCTAAACTTTTAAACTCACAAATCGATTTTTTTCTACGACAAATATTTTAATGGATCACCAATGTGCAAAGTAATATTTTATCAAAAATATTTTTTAATACCAAATTTGAATTCGATAAATCTTTGAGCTCACTAACTGGTTTGAGAATTTGTGACAAAAATATTTCACAAACTATGCATCTTTGGAGATGCAGTTTTTTAACATTAAATTTCAACGTAACGAAGACTATGAACAAAAATGAATTATACTAATGAGAAATGTGCACATATTTTCGTGGAACACGGGTAAATGTCACACCTTTTATGACTGGCAAAAAGTTTTCACAAGTAGTTCTTCTATACAACATCCTTTCTAATCTAATCCTATAAGCTCTACTGATATTCTCAGATACCAAATGGAACAAGCTTCAATTACTTACACATTTCACATTTTAGTGCAATGTATAACTAATTGAAACTTGTAGTCACCAAGAAATCTACTACCCCTGGATGTGGTACCTGTAATGAAGCACAAAGTACAGCCTTTTAAGCTAATGAACCAAAAGAAGCTGACCTCCTGCTGCCCCTGGACGAAGGCAGATTCCGGCCTTCCTTCAAAGCATCTGCATATTTCACCAACTCAGGCGTACGAAAACTCTCTTGATGAGCCAATCCCTTCCTGCTCATTCCTCCCTCTTCTTCTTCTTCTTCTTCTTCTTCGTCTTCTTGAAAGTGTTTTGATCTGTCAAATGAGCCCTGAGATGAAGAACTTCTTGATTTGTGCTTCCCACGCAGTAACCTCATCATCTTGCCGAAAACTTTTCTTTTCCCAGATGTGTGAGCTTTATGGGTTGTTGGTGTCAATGAGCAGATGGAAGTATCCTCAGTGGGGGTAAAAAATGAAGCTTGGGAGGAAGATGACCGTTTGGAGGAGCCAGAGTGTGGGCCCACGCCTTCTTCTTCTCTGCGCGCGTATTCAAGAATCAGTTGTTTGGCTCTCTCCTCTGATTTGGGACTCAGTGTCTTGCTGAGATCCCTTGCCACTGTTTTGTCAGGGTCAGGTTGGTAATTTCTAAGCTCGTAACGCAAGCAGGCATTTACCCACCGGAGATAGACAAGCTCTTCGGCATCCGAACACCTGTGGGACCGGAGCTGTTCAATCTCCTTCGCCATGTCAGCGTTTTGTTTCCTTAACCGTTCAGCCTCAGCCACCAATGCTTCCATCTGTCATTAAACATAAAAGGTCAATTCTTTTTTATTATTATTCTTTTTTAAAACAAAGGTAGATATTTAAAACAGAAATGGGATGAAAGAATCACCTCTTCATCATCAAGAACAGAAGTGGCAATGATCTGAACATATTCCAACCGCTGAGCCAATTCGGAATTTTCTGTCCTCAAACTATTGTTACAACTCCTCAGCTCTTCTGCTTCGATCTCCAATTCCGCTATCCTTTGGACCTTTGTATGAGCATCCGATTCTACTTCTAGAAGCTTCTTCTCCTGATTGTGCAGTGTTTCAAGAGCCTTCTTTTCCACATCTTGAAGCTTCATAACTTTTTCCTGAAGTGCACAGATCTGCTCCTTCCTATTCTCAGCTTCATGCCTTACTTTTTTCTTCAGCTGCTTTACCTTCACTCTTGCGGCCTCAAGTTCTGACACGACCTAAAATATATCTATGAGTAAGTAAATACGGAGTATATAATGATCAAAAAAGAGTTTTGTTTTAAATAAAGAAATAGCATTCATAGACTACCGTTGCGGAATCAGCCATTTGTGCTTCCAATTTCTTTTTATCAGCCTTCAAAGATTCAATCTTTAGAGCAAAGAGCTTGGCCTCCATGTTATTGATATTTATTCGGTTTTGAAGCTCCTTCACGACAGTTTCTTGCTCCTTAAGACCATAATATTCGAGCAATTTGATCTCAAGATTCCTCTCCCTTTCCTTGAGGGTTTTAACAATGCCTTTCAACCTCCTAACTTCTTCATCATGTTCTTCCCTTTCAACAGAAATATATTCCCTCAATGCAGAAACTTGGTATTGAAGTTCCACACCTTTTCCCTCAAATCTAAAACTTTCTGATGGGCCGGATAAATCTGAGAGGCCCGCCTACAAAGAAGCACATCTTTGTTTGTTTAGCTTAAATTGTCATATTAAACTTGTTTGTAACTTATTTTTGGCAAATTGCATTGGAAAAGATAGCTTCATTCGACCCCTTTTTTTGCAGGGAAAAGCATTTGAAAGCTGAATATAAGTGGAATTATTGAACAACAGCCAAAGCAACCATGGTTTAAAACTCTTGACAACAAGAACAAAAAATAAAAAATCCCATCAACAAGAATATCCCACCAATCCGATCATCGCGAACATTATGCCCTAACTTCAAATGAAAAAAATCCCATTATTATCAACAAAAGATCTTACGCATTTTCCTGATGCCACAGAGCCAGAAGCACAAGCACAAGGTGTAGTCTGCACGGATTGTTTCGAACGAGATGGTGGTGTTGTCTGCAGCGAGTGATCATTATCTGTGGGACAGAAGTTGAGATCATCATACTCCATACATCATATACAAACATATCCAAACTCAGAACATCATACTTATCCTAAGATCAATAACAGTAAACACAGACCAAATTACTAAATCTCAAACTACATAAATCACATCACATATCTTTCTGAAACCAGAGTTTAACCACTACTTGGGGTAATAGAAAATCAATCACAGATCAATTGACTAAGATAAGAATCAAAACTGAAATGGGTTTCAATAAAGAGCATGAACTAGAAACAGACCTGTAGATGGAGGCAGTAAAGGGGTGCGTTTGGATGGTTTGATTCCTCTGTTTCGCAAGATTGTATAAAGAATCCCACCAAGAGAGAGACACACAGCTACCCCATATTTTAGAAGCAGGGGCCCGAAATTTCTCCTTCCTCTCATCTACTCTCCGATCAAACCAAACAATTAAACAAACCTCAAAATCCAACCGTTTCTTGAATTGGATGGGTACAATAAACAAACAGATGACGAGCATGTCTTCTTCCTCTTCGCCTTCATGTCCAAACATATAAACAAAGAGATCAGATGACGACCCAGCTGGGGAATCGATGCAAGGATGAAAACCCATTATCGGAAAATGAACAATTCGAAGAAAAGATTGAAACTTTACCGATGAGAGACGGGATTCTCCCCCCAACATCGGATTCGATGAATGGGAGGCTGGAAACGCGCCAGGCGGGCAGGAGAATCCAGTCGCGCCAGGGAGTTGAGGAAACTTGATTCTGGTGTGGATTTGATTCGTGTTGGTCATGTGGTTTTGTCTTTCTTACTCGTACTATTTTTGGATTATTACGATGAAAATCAGACAAAAAAAATGGTGATCTTGAGTCTGGGCCATGAAGCAGCTGCGTATTCATTTTCAGGAAAAGGTCAGCCAGCTATCTCTCGAGAGGGGTAAATTTGTCTTTCTCGGATGATTCAAATATGATCCTAACTTTATTTATGGGTACCAAGTAAGAAAAAAATTACTCCCTCTATCCTAGAATAATGATGTTTCTGGTCATTATTTACATAGCTAAATTTTAATTATTTTCTTTTATTTATTTTTGTTAGCTATTTGATAAAATAATATGAATATATCACTTCTTGTTTTGTAGAACTTTTGATGTAGTTTTAAAATATATAATTTTTATTTTTAAATTTTACACCTATAATCAAATAAATCGAATTGAAAATAGGGAGAAAGACCAAAGTAGGACTAAAACATTGAAAATACATTAAAATAGGACATTAATGTTTTTATTCTCGAAATAGGACTTACATTACCAAACATGGTCATGTGCATTACCAAAAAAATATAGTAATGTGCAAATGTACAGTGCCACATTATTACAGTGCAAAGTTCTATTTTGGAAAAAGAAACATGAAAGTTCTATTTTGGTACTTTTCTCTATGTTTTAGTCCTATTTAGAATGATTTTAAATGAAAATAATTTCAGTCTAACCTCATAAAGTGAACTAGAAATATCATTTTAAGGCGGAGTATTTCCTTCATCTCAATTTAATTTACATGTTTAATATTCACAACGTTAAACATTAATGACATTCTTTACTAATTTTCGCTACACATTTGATAAAATTATATATAGAGAGTACATCTCTTAATGTAGTTTTTAAATGCGTAGATTTTAATTTTTAATTCTACATCAATTTTCA